TACCAGAAAGACAAAGGTTGGATGGATCTGAATCTGAAAACTCCTCAAACACTCAATCAACATCTGTAAGTATTCAGAAATATTTAACTTACTTTTCTTTGTCATATTCATTGCCGATCCGTTTCTTTGAAAAATATATCCTACGCATTTGTTTTTAGGGAAATGAACAGTTGAATCCTTCCACTGACATGTCTTCGAGTTCACCGATATCTGAGTCACCTACTTCTACCAGTTCGGTAAATCACAATGATGTAGAAGCTGGACATTCAAAATCTCCACCTAAGAGAAGGCATCGAAAGAAGGTGAGCAACAAATCTTTGCTTTAAAATAAGTTATAACTATGACTTATTGGGCCTGAAACTTATTATCTTTTTTTTAAAAGGATATAACTCAAAATTCTACTGAAAGTGATTCGGAAACAGTAACAAAAAGACAAAGGTTGATTGGATGTGAAACTGAAAACTCCTCAAACAGTCCATCTACTTCACTAAGTATTCAGAAATATTTAACTTACTTTCTTTTGTCATATTTTTTTGATAGATATGTCTTAAATATAAACTCTTGCCATTTGTGTTCAGGGAAATCAACTGTTGTCTTCTTCCACTGAAATGTCTTCAAATTCTTCAATATCTCATTGCTCCAATTCAACCAGTTCGCCTAATTCCAAAGATGAAGAAGAAGGTGGCCCTTCGCAATCTCCACCTAAGAGAAGATATCGTAAGAAGGTTAGTAACATATCTGTTGATTTATCATATTCTTTAATCATATATTTTTTTTTAAACCTGTTCTTAACTTTCAGGAGAAAAAAGCTACAAGTGAAGGGTCAGAAAAACCCATAAAAAGGAAAAGTGCTAGTAAGAAGGTATTGCTACTAAATTAGTTTACATACCTGTATGAATACTTTGTTCAAACTTTAATGAGCATCTTTTCTGCTAGGTAAAGTCTGATGAACCATCCACTTCTGCAGTACCTCGTCCAAAAAGAACACGGAAATCTAGATCCAAGAAGACGTCAAAGGTAATTTTCTTCACTTAATGTACCTCCAGTCAGAATCTGTTCAATTATCTAAATTACAGAATAGATCTTACCTTTGTTGGCTATTCAATATTGAATCAATTTTCCAGTTGCTATTTTTTTTAAGAAGGCAACTATTATAATGACATAATCAACTCCTTTTCAACAACAGGATTCTGATTGTGCTGGATCTTCATCTGTTAATCGTACTGTGCCATCTTCTTCTGAAGATCCAGCTCCTGCAAGTATTCCATCTTCATCTCAAGCACCATCTACTTCTTCAAATGCAGTAAGATAAAATATACTAAAATTTCATGGCTGTGAATTATTTTATGTGTAAATTTCCTTTTTTTTACAGGATACTAATCAAAACATCGAGACCTCTGCTGATGAATCTCTTGGAAATGACAATCATACTGTAGAAGAATCTGCTTCAACATCTGCTGTAAAATTACAGTAAAATTTTTATAATTGTTTTGATCGTATCTGGTTTTATGTATATTTTACTTACTTTATAGGCTCCAGGGGAACAATCGAATTCCACTCCATCCAATGCTCCAGTAATTGATGATAACAATCAAGCAGCTTCATACGAGACTCCTTCTTCCAGTACTGGCACAGCAGAGACTCCTTCTTCCAGTACTCGCACAGCAACTGGCAGCTCAACGGTAAAAAAAGAATAATTAGTACTAGATTTTTATTTTATATTCAGAAACTTACCTTGAATCTTTTGTTCTTATTAGCCCGACACTAATGAGGCTCCTTCCTGGAACTGTAAGATAAATGGAAATGTTTATGTAATCTTAAATTATAATTGAAGTATTCTATTACTCGTTTTATTCATTTGCAGGCTACTAATGGCAATTTCAGGGACCGGTTCAATCGCAGAAATACGCAAGTCATACCGCTTCGACATGCTTCGGAGTTAATAGTTGGAGCTTTGTACGAGGTGAGCCCGTTTGTCCGAAGCTCGTTTGTCCGAAGTGATATTATCTATCTTTAGTTAATAAAATAAGTAAATTAGTAAAATACATAATGTTATTTCATTTAGTGGCAGTTGTTGAAATAAGAGCTAAAACAGGTATAGATACCATCAGGAGGGCATACGAAGTGGCTAACTGCAGCTCCGGGCATGGAAAACGGTAAGTGAAATAACTTGCGCTATTTCACTAACTTAAGTTAATTAACTTATATTTGAATAAGGCTTGGTTCGCGCCACGCCGTCGAGCGGCTGTGGTGCGCCGCGACTCTCGGATCCGTTCGGCTCGGCTCGGCAGGCCCGGCTCGGCCTGGGGTCGGGGACTCTCGACTTTGCCATACGATATTTTGATACTCTCTTTATATAGTTGTTTACATTGACATTCCAAAGCCATCGAGGCGCGAAGAAGGAGGAAGGAAGAAGAAGTGGCAAGCTTATTTATTTATCGTCGTCGTAATGATCCGTGATTCATTCGCAATCACCCCATCTGAGGAAGATTCGTGCACTTCTGAAGGCGTAAAGAATAATGCGCAAGTGAGTACCGATCCGCTGTTCTCTGTTTAACGTTTTCTCCTTCGGGTCTGAGCAAACGTCTGCTGTGTAGTTGACGCACGCAACGTGGTTTTCGAACACGGAGCCATGCTTTTTGAGAGGTGTTTTATTTGTTCGAATCAAGGCCTTCCAATCGCCCACTTGAAACACTTACCTCTTGTAGTACCCTCTTGCATT